TCAAAGACTACAAGCTGCAATTTTTCTATGACCTCTTTGCCCTAACTTTAACAAAAGAGAAGAGAACTGAAGGAAATTACAGCCTTACTCAGAAGAGCAGATTTTTCACTACTCATGGGGATTCCCATTTAAACTCTCGTTCAGCTTCCAAAATTTGTATTGTACATTCAGTATCTCCAAATAGTGAAAAATACACTGTAGTTTCTTGGGATAGAAATCCATATCTCAGATGTATACAAAGTTTCTCCAGAGGTAGTACCTACAAATAAACTACTAAAGAAATTACTAGGAAACACTAAAACACAAGAAAAAGATGACAGGGACAGAAGACTCTAGAGAGCATGTTGGAAATGGCAGAAGTGAAGCTGAACAAGAGAAATGACTAACCAGATGGGATATTTTGGAAGTAACCAGGAATGGACCGTAACTATAGGAATGCTATAAAGAAAATAGTATGAAATTTACTTTAATTGGGGTGATTGGTAACAACTGTGTACTGCATTTTAAAATGTAGAGAAAATAAAGGTCAATAAGAGGGAAAGTAGGTAGGGAGGAAGATAGGGAGTGAAATCCAAAGAAAGGAGGGAGAAAAGAGTAAGAATGAGGAGGAGCCTTTAGAGGTTCTGTGTAAATCGTCCTTGTAACTCAAAATAATGAAATGGTAATCTATCCCTAAATATGGGGACGGAGGGACCCAGTGCCATAGGCGGAGAATGTTCCTCTTTTTGTTGGCAGAGCAATAGTCCAGGTGTTCTTGTTAAGAGTACAAAGGTTTAGGCTCAGCAAAGCATAGTTATTTTGAGAATGTTTTACATGTTGGTTTACTGTGTATTTAAATTAAGGAGACTGGAAAAGAGGGGTGGAAACTGGAAGGTGGAGAAGGGGCAAATCAGGGGCATGAAAGATGTACTTGGTTTCATTAGAAATTCTCTCTTTTCAGCTAAAGAAAAGAGGAATGGACATAAAATTTGACAAACATACCTTTTCAAGTTAAAGTACAATGTAAGGAGAAGGAGGACGATTTAGATTGCTGAAGGACACAGTTGCTGGATAATTAATAATGATGGGCTCAGTGTATGCCCCCAACCAAAAGGAAAAATATATTATGGCCTTCTTTAAAATACTGCAATACTTTGGGGAGGAGACTTCAGCTGCACATCGATTCCTGCCGGGGACAAATCTGATTGAAAAGACCAGGCGGATTGGGAAGTGGGAGCAGCATCGACCTCTTTGTGCCAACAGCGCAATTTGTCATTTTGTTGGAGAGAACTGAGCCCAGTGGGAAGATTGCACATTTTATTTGCACCCTCATCAGTTATGTACTAGAATAGATGTAATGTTAATCTGTAAATCCTTAATGAGGCAGACAGGATCTGCAGAAATTGGCAGCATTACCATGGTCATATTGTGTACTAGTGAAACGATACTTAGTATTTGGGATGGGTCCCAGGGATAATTTTTTTTTAAATGAACTGCTTTTTTTCTCCAAGGAAAAGATTTGGTTGCAGAAATTTAAAAAGGACATTGTTCAATACTTTCAGATATGAACAATATAAAGAGCGGCTTTCTCTAGGAAAGCATTGTTGAGGGGCCAGTTGATGAGCAGAGCCTCTCACCTGAAAAAAGAAAACTCAAGAAAAAAATAGAACTTAGAACAGAAGATAGGTTTCAAAATATTCATAAAAACACAGGTTCAAAACACCCATCACGATTAATGAAATATTAGGAGGAAATGGAATATGTTAATTATAGAACCATAGAGCTGGAAGAGACCTCAGAAGGTTATCAAGTCCAGTCCCCTGCTCTAGGCAGGACCAGTCCCAATGATGGATGCTGTTGTAAAAAGCCCTTAATATACAAAGCAGAAGTTTTATGAAAAAAGAAATAAAAGTAATAGCTTAAAGGAATTCAAGAACAATGTATTATTCCACCAGTTAGGAACAAGCAGACAGTTCTGCATCCTACTAAAATAGATGCTACTTTTGCTTCTCGTTATGAAAATCTCTATACCTCAGATACTCCATGAACTGAAGTTAATTCTATTTTTTAAAATTAACAGGCTTGCCAAAGATAAGCATAATTTTTAAACATACTTTATATAAAAAAAGAAGAAATCTTAGTGGCAATATCAAATATAGAAAGTGATAAAACTTAGGGACCTGCTGGCTTTTCAGATGAATTTTACGAGGTATTTAAAGAGGTATTTATGGGTCCCTTGACAGGTACCTCCAAGCATATCTGTTACAGGAGGAACTTCTGCAACCTGTGAAAAAACTACTGTGGTTATTCTTCCCAAAGATGAAAATGAGCTCATCTTAAGCATTTCCTTTAGTCTCAAATCCTTGTTGAATTATGGCATCAAGATTATAGTCTCTGCTCTCAGCTTATATTAACCTAGATCAATGATGAATTCATTAACGACAGACTAATATTAGATGGTATTAAGAGAGGACCAATTTCTTTTATTGTCATTAGATGAAGAGAAAACCTTTAATAGAATAGCGTGGGACTTTCTATTTCAAACCCTATCCTGTGGACTTTGGCCTCCAGTTCCCTAAATGGATAACTGCATTTTACACCAGCCCAAAAGCAGATGTTTGAGTTTATAGTGTTAAATATCCACTGTTTTGAATTACAGAGAGGGACTAGATGGGGATATCCATTTCTCCTTCACTTTTTACACTGGGCATGGAACCTTTAGTACAGATAAGGAACAATTAATCCATCAAAGGAATAAAACTTGCAGGATCACATCAGAAAGCAGTGTCCTACGCAGATAGTGTAGTACTATTTTTAACTAAACTAAATATTTCTCTAAAATTAGGTTCCAAAGGAATCTAGAACTTTGGGGGGAAAGTGTTCTGATTTATAGTAAATTATGCCAAATATTAAATGTCAAAATCTGAAAAGTGTCTATTCCAGAAAACATTTGGGTGCAAACATGCAACAAATTCTATAAGCTACCTGGGAATTCAAATCTTACCAACATAGAGTGCCATGATATAGTGTCAAACGCTTACTTTGGGAAATGAACAAAGATCTTGGTGTTGAGCAAAGTATGCACTTTCTTGGGGAAGAGGGGGGATAGCAGCAGCCAAAATGAGCATTTTGCAAAGGATATCTTTCTTGTTTCCAAAATAATTCTAGTGGGGAAAAAAGAGGATGCTAACATTTTTATGGCTAAGGAAAGATCATGAGGGAGTGTAGATACTCCATACAGGCCCATTAACAGGATGGATTAGCTATTCCAAAAATTCTATGGTATCACTCCTCCAGCCAGCTCCAAGTTGTAGTGAATTTGGGTGCCAAACACAGGGTCTTTGTTAAACAAAGTAACTGTGGCAGTGAGAATGTTGCTAAACTACTGTAGACTAATAAAAATCTCATCCTTCAGAAATTTACACACATCCTTTAGGCAAGGCTACTCTGTATTTTGGATAGACTACAGATAAGATATTTCTTTTCCCTTGTCATTGATACCCATTACAAATAATCTAGATCTTAACTCAAATTATGAACAAGAGAGTTTCAAAGCTAGGGAGAGCAATAGAATAGGATGAGGCTAGTCAGATTATCCTAGAAGAGCTGGGTTTGATCTAGAAAAAAGGACTAGCAACCTCAGTCTGTAGCACAATAAAAGAAAATTTCTTTAAGGTACTATTTCAAAGGTACAGTACAGTACTTTTCACTTTTTGTGTTAAAATATATAGAGATTGAATGGGAATAAAGTGCGGAGAAATTGTGGTGAAAGAGGAGATTTTATGCATATATGGTGGACATCTCCAGTCATTAGAGTAGTGGGATGTGCTCTGTAAGCTAATATCACAAATTGATGTATATGCATTACCAAATGATCCCTTGGTAATTCTTCTAGGGCTTCCTAGCAGAAATGGTCACACAGGAGGGAAATGAAGAATTGATCTCTCATCTCCTAATAGATGCTCAGCTGTTGGTAGCTGGTAGCCTGTCGCTGGAAAAAGAAAAATAGCCCAGCCAGCAAGAAATGATTTTTTTAACTGAGATTATGGAAAAATTAACATACCAATCATGTATGAATAGATAGAAGGCAGAAACATACTTGGATTTTTTGTTACCTTTTATTCGATATGCGAGGTATATTCATCCGCAAAAAAACTAACATACTTTAAAAAATATTAACATTTGATAGTGACCCCATGTCTGTGAAATATGTGTATAGAGATTTCACTTAATTTAATAAAATCACTCGAAATTGCTCACTCTGTAATATGGTAACATATGAAATAGACAGATCTGATGACTATATAATGTAATTCCTGCATAATGTCTCATTGACCAAAAGCTAAATGTTGTAATGATTTTGTTCCTGATATTTATATGCCAAGGATTAGTAATTAGTAAAGTTTTTTAAGCTTCCTAAATAAATACACGATTAAAAAGGAAACATTAAAAGACAAAAAATGTATCCTGCATCATTAAAATTTCAGCATAACTGTCTATCTTGTGCTGCTTGTTTTTAGCTTTTGTTTCAGATTTGGGATTCAATGAGTAGAGCTTGACACTTGTGCTGACAATTCCACCTGATCTACAATGGAGTGGGTGACATGCAGTGCTCCCATTTTTATCCCTGTAGGCAGGCAGCCTTTCTCTTGGATAGCTTCTAGGAGATCCATTCATAACCTGCTCTTGGCAAGTCACCTTGGATCCCTAACAAAAGTGATATCAGTTCACACATCCCTTTGTAACATTCCTAATCTCTGCCATCCAGAGACACTTATGTCTTCTGGTTGTTGTCTCACAGTTCTGCTGTGATTGAGCCTTTAGAATTTAGATGGATAGGCAGCATGTCCCTTGCCTGCAATCATCTAGGTTTTTTATTCCAGCAGGCCAGTGTAAAGTTCATGGAGGGTTAGAACAATGCAGACGATTCTAAAGCATTAGGGGATGTAGTGCTTGGCCAGTAGGAAAAAGCCAAGAAAGATGATGGTGAAGTGCTAAACAGACTGTTTTCTGCTCTTCAGGATGAGATGACCTCAAGTTTGGGCCTGACCACAAAGAAGGCCCTCACTATCCTGAGAGACCAGCTGTCAGCACTGCTGGAAGGGCATCGGAAGGAAAGGAAGAAGGTGATTTCATGGAAGGTGAGGCAGAAAAAAGCCCTCATTAGGCTTTGACTTTCCCAGTCTCTCTCTCAAAATTAGGGCTGTAATAGTGTAATTCTGTGTTTTTCAAACTGGGTCCTGCCCCCCCCCCCCCACAGAGGCACAGAGAAACTTAGAGGGGGGGGGGGGGGCAATGGGGGGGGGGGGGGGGGGGGGGGTGCCCCAAGGGGTCACGAGCAACTTAGAGTGGGGGTTGTGGGCAATGTGGGGGGGGGGGGTTGTGGTATCACAATGTTTGAGAACCCCTGGTGTAGTTGATTAACCAATTAACTGATAAGAAAAAGCATATGGGTTACTGCTGTAGACTACACACATTCCCCCACCTCCCCTTCTGCCAGTACATTTTTAGCAGATTGGCCAGCAGCCTGGCTCAATCCTGGCTTACACTGGGTCTGGGACCTACTTCAGCTGCAGCTCTGCATTTAAAATGTATTAGGAGCCAGGTGGGCAGGCAGCCCAGCTCAGTTCTGCCATGTGCTGGCTCATGCTGAGTGCCCCCCCACCAGACAGGGGTTGCTGCCACCCTGCACTGCTTCCTCTGTATCAGAAGGAGCAGTGCGGGGCAAAAAGCAGCTGGTCCATGAAGGGAGCTGGTTTTTAAACTGGCTCCCTTCACAGACCAGCTCCTGCCTGGTACCCCATGCTGCTGCCTCTGGATTGGGGCCAGAATGCGCTGGCTGCCAGCCCCACCCTTGGGGACTATAGAATATTCGACTAACCAATAAGAATTCATGAGGTTAACAGACTATTCAATTAACTTATATTTAACTTCCCTACTCAAAACCCTAATCTTTGGAAATTGGGGATTAGATCAGTTTCCCGCATAGGTCACACAGCAGACCTACGGTGCAGCCCGAAGCTTTTCAAACCCTTGTTAAGCTAAAACTGAGTTCACTGAAAGTGAATTACATTGGCATCTGTATTTGTAGAGCTCCTGAACTCCTTGGGGCTAATGCTAGCAGCTATGCAAGATAGTAGCTCCTTTATAGCTCTGCAGTTGTGGAATGTAGAATTTTAATTTCATCCCAGAGGTGCTTAAGAGCTGAAACTTTTGCCTAGTCAGCCTCTAGCCCCTTCTTCCTGCATTACGAAGATGAATGGGGGCTGCCTTTTTCCTTCTTCCTGGCCCCTAAAAACTTTGTAAAATTGAGGTTTACCTAGATGTAAAATGTGGTCTCACTGCACACAAGGGGGTTGTTCAGAACAGATGGGGCTCTGAGGCTCCACGTACTCTCCTGAGGACCTCATCTACAGTTGGAGTGTCTTGTACATTTAAATACAATGTTCTGGAGTCTTATTTGTAATAATTACATCTAAAAACTGTCTGTTCTCCCCTCTGCATCAGCAACAATGAGGCATCCTGGGACAGCTGCATTTGTATTGTGCAAGAGTATTGCTAAGGTTGCCAGATACTTTCACAAAAAATCTGGCGGGGTGCGGGAACTTGGTTACACACACACACACACGTCCTCCCACTCCCCTGCTCAGCTGCCTCTCACGTGTAGCGTGGGGGGAGGCCAGGGCAGGTGGAAGCCAGTGCTTATGGCAGGCCTGGCTGAAATACAGCCCACCAAGTCACCAGATCTAGTCCATGGAGGTAGTGGGAGCCCCAGGCAGGCTCCCTTGCTTGCCCCGTAGCCCTACACGCTGCTCGGAAATGTGGCTGCGGGGCGCTTTCTCTTTGAGTCCGGGGGGAAGGAGGGGGAGATTCAGATGCTGCTCCTGCCCCCAGCACAGTCCCATTGTCTGGTTTCTGGACAGACACTGGCCAGTGGGAGCTGCCTGTTTGAATAATAGGCAGCCACAAAGCACAAACCTCCTGCTCACTCACTCTCTGTAGGCAGGCAAGCAGGCTGTTAAGTCTCCTGGTGAGAACCTGTCTTTGGCACCTCAGCTCCTCCCTTGCCCAACCCTCTGCTCCACACTCCTGCCCTGCCACTCCACGTGCACCCATACCCCCTCCCGGATCTGGCACCCCATCTCCTGCTTGAGATCACAATCCCCTCCTACCCTAGGTCACATCCCAAAACCCTGCACCCCAGTTCCCTGTCCTAGGTCACAACCATCTCCTTCACCCAAACTCCCTCCCAGACTCCATTCTCCCTCCTGCATCCCAGTCCTTTATCCCAAGCTCCCATCTACACCCCCAGATCCCACATCTCCTCCATTAATACCATGGAAGAGTGTGGCCTTCAGCCACTTTCCAAACTCTTGGAGTGGCCCTCCCCTGTCAAAAATTATTGCCCACCCTTGGTTTAAGGGGGAGCAGGTTTTTAAGTTAGCTCCCTGCACATGCCAGCTTCAGCACCCTGCAGAGCCACCTCTCCCCGGCGTGGAAATGTGTAACTGCTGAAAATTTCAGCAGTGACATGCTTACAAAAAACCCTGCTTTTAATATCCCTCTTTTGATCCACTGCTTTTGTGTTAATGCCCAGCACTCAAACACTGATGTGGGAAGCTCTTTACTTTTTTAAGGGTTTTTGCAAATGATGTTCACTCCCCAGTGGTTTTGTGAACTCCCCCTCCCCTCCCATTATGTTGTTCTTAAAGGGCTGCATCTGTCTGCATTTAGCTGACACTGAGTCTCTCTGCTGCTCTTGCTTTGTAGGAGGTGTGGAAGAGCAGTTTCCTGTACCATGGTAACCGTTGTTCCTGTTTCCATTGGCCGGGTGCATCTCTGATGCTGCTAGCAGTGCTGCTGCTGTTGTGCTGCTGCGGGAGCCAGCCAGAAGGGAGGTCAGCAAAGCATCCTTTGCTATTGGAGGGGGGATTGGGGTAGTATTATATAGTATCAGCTGTGCATATAACAGTCTTATCACTGTGGTCGCTAATTGTTTCTAATCACCGGGTTCACTCGTGACCAGATTGTGTCTTCATTGGCTCTTCCCCATACCTCTGACAGACTTGCTTTGGGAGCTCATTAATGCCTCTTCTCAGTAGTCCCATAGAGGGTCTGATAGAGAGAATGAGCTTACTTCCCTTTGGGAACCATACAAGCTCCTTTTTGTGCCTTGCTACCAGATCCCCTGATGTCATGGAGTGTGGGAATAGAGAGGGAGAATCCTGAAAGTGAATTGGGGGTTGGGGTGCCTCATGGCAGAGTGCCGAAAGCTGCCACTTTGGATCTGGCCATTCCCTGGCTGCATTTGATAAGGACGTTTCGATATCAAAACAGATCTTGTCAAACTTCTCTAGTGGAATTGATCTAAAGACAAAGCCTGGGCTTAATGACTCTGCTTTATTTTTTTTAATGAATAATGTTATTACTTGAGTCAATAGTAGGAAAGAATAAAAGGCCAGGCGGGTTCGCATGTGTATCTGTGCATGGGGTAGCATATCTCACGTGACACCACTTGGTTATTTCCTTTTGCCTCTCAAAGCCAAGGTGCTGAGATTGTGAATGCCTTGGCACTTCTCCTCCTCCTCCTCCTGAACCTCTTCTTGATTGGCCGACAAGAGAGGCTGAAGCGCAGAGAGGTTGAGAGGAGGCTCCGGACTATCATTGACAAGATAAACGGTGAGGTCTCTATTTGCCGTCTCCCATTTGATTTGCCATGCATGCGCTCAATACCTTCCCCTTCTCTTAGATTTCTCTCCAAACCTGAGGCCTCCATTACTTGTATTTAGACTACCTGTCTTGCTCCACCTCATACAGAGGCAGGCTGTTGGGAGACATGCTTTGCGCACTATCCTCTTTAGACGGGATGTGCTGAGCTACTATCGTGCTTTGAACCTTTAACTCTGTAAGGTAAATGACCATTATGTTGATGTGCTGGAGTAAGTCAGACTTTGAGCATCTCATAAAAATATCTGCCTTCCGGCAAGCAAACAAAAAGGAGTGCGTACGGGCAGCACCCTTTCAGCAAGAGACAGGTGCATGGGGACGGCTGTAAGTAAGCACCCTCCCAATTTGGGCAGCAAACCTGGGGAGCCTCTACCTGACGGGAATTGGAGTTACCCTTTTCAGCCTGGGGCCCTCTGGGACATCCCCTTGGCCTTTCTCTTGCCGAGGTTCATGTCAGCATTACCTGGTGTTTGGTTTATGATGTGAATTGGCTCTGAGTACAGCACAGGAGGATATGGGGGACCTCCCGCATCTGCTATGGGGGAAAGGAAATGGCGGGAGATCATAAGGACTGTGTGGGATTAGCACTGGAGAGATCTCTCTATGGAACGTAAATGCTTATGGGATCACCAGG